CTTCCAGTCATTTTTACCTCTGCCAAGGAGGCTATGGTATTGCTGGGGTATTTTATTTATATAAATATATAAATAACAAGTTACCCCCTACCAGAGTCTTAAGCTTTGGGCACATCGGAGACAGACGTGTCGCGCCCGCGCTGCTTTTTAAAATGGAAGATAGTTAATGACAGTGGCTACACAGGGACCGCCGCATACCAGAAGCATTGCGCTGAAATGCTGAAGATAGGCACCAGTACTATTAATCTTAGTACTATTGATCTTAAAATATACTAATAAATACTACCCAGCGTACTACCCATTTTTTATGAATTAGAGGCTCACAAAACAAGATGGCAAGTCTGATCACGTATAAACAGTAGGCACTTCCCGCTTCTTGTTCTCAAATCTCGAGTGATGTTGTTACTATCGCACGACTTTCCAAGAAGCGCTCAGCGGTGCTTCCTGTGTGACCATTTAACTTCCCAAAACCGCGACGCGTATGTCTCCAGTGTGCCCCAGGCCTAACTCTACCCACGTTTCCAGGTTGAAAATACGATTCATGTGAATTTGAAAAAGTGTGAGAGTGACACAGATTGTATAATATAAATATATATATATATATATATATTTGTCAAGACAAGGTCCCATTAAGTTACATGGAGAGGGCGTGGCCTAAAATTGTTCTGTAGCCAGCCCTTAGGGACGTTTCGATTCCTGATTAGCTTCAGCCTTCTCAAATATTTAGAAGGAATACAACATAGCAACAGATGTAATATCTAATTGAAAGGGTGTGTGATTCACACTCGACACACTCAAAATACAAGCACACCTACAAACGTAACCATAGATACCAAACAGGCTGACAGTGGGAGGGACATGAGTTGTTTGTCCTTGACCAAAGATTCAACAGGAAACTTTGAATGACATTTATGTTGTCAGTGGCCTCATTGAACTGAGTACAACAAAATAATGTGGTCAAACAAGAATGTATTAAAGCAACAACTCCTAGGAACTCACACAATCTGCACATTTTTACATGTTCCATTCATTTCTGTCAAGCTTTATATCTATTTGACATGTTTTCTGAGTCAAAGTAATCATTTTTCAAGGATGTTAAAGACTCAGTTTTAAATCTGATTGAGATTACATTTTCATTCCTGCTAGATATGACTCTGAAGGTACATTTTAGAGGAACACCAAGATAGAAGCACGCTATTTTTTTTAGGATTTCTTGGTGATTCATTTGTTATGTCATTTCACCTGAGATGCACCTTTTGCCAAGCTAAGAACGCTACACACTTCTAGTGAGTGGAAACCCTTTGGTAGGGCTTCAAGTGAGATAATGTGTGATGGAGTCCTTTAAAAAGGTCAAACCCTCTGCAGGTTTCTTTAAGGTGGCAGCAGTAGCTCAACAGGTTGAGAGGGCTGTCCAGTAATCGGAAGGTTGCAGGTACGATCCCGGCTCCGGACAGAGAATTCTGCTGTTGTGTTCCTAGGCAAGACACTTAATCCACCTTGCCTGCTGGTGGGCTGTGCTCGGCAGCCTCGCCTGTCAGTGCGCCCCAGTAGGGCTGCTCAATTAATCGAATTTTAATCACGATTACGATCTGAGTTTTGAACGATTATAAAAAACAAAACAAGCCGATTATTTGCTCCTCCCGCTTGCGCTGCCCTGAGTTGCAAATGAAGCGCTCCTCCCACAGTGTTGCCAACTTAGCGACTTTGACGCTATTTCTAGCAGCTTTTCAGACCCCCTTCTTGACTTTTTAATCCTAAAAGTACCTAGCGAACACCTCAGAAACATCTCTGGTAACCCTTAGCTACTTTCTGGATAACTGTCGTCGACATTTCCTGCAGGTTAGCTAAACACTCCGCCTGTGCTCCGGACCGTTCTTCACAACATTAGGAAAGGGAATGATGCAGTGATGTGTCGGTCGCTAAAGACAGCTCTCGGAGTCGGCTCCCTGTTGGATTAACCAGAGTGAGTGACACACACACCGCACCTGCGGACTCCTGAGCCGCTAAACACAGCTAAATGTGCGCGTGCGGCGAGCTAGACACACGTGCAGCTTGCCCGATTGCTGTGAGACCGGGTTGGGGGGTGGGGGTGCAGCTGTGGTTGGGACAATTATTACATTAACTGATGGACTTGTAAATAAATAGTTTATAAATAAGGTAGAAATAAGTTCCTCACGCTGATAAATAGTAACTAATCTCTCTGGGGACACGGTGCTAGTGCACTCTCCTACAGCACCTTGACACGACTACATAAATGTTATGCAACATTTTGTGAACATCAATTTATTTGCATTTATTTGTTATAAATGCCACTGTATAATTATTGCTGTCAGTATTTGCAAGATATTGGTATTTGGGTCTGTACTGGTTAGACTTAAATGAGTTAAACCAAGGTCTATAGCCCTTGGGTCATAAACTATGAGCTATAAGTATATTGGTCTTTTTATACTGGGAACCAGGAGTTCTTTTAGTGATCATCTTGTTTCTTATTTTTGTCCTGATTGTGCCCTGAGCAGTTTTATGACTGAATAGAAACAAATAAAATCAACATAAATTGAAAAATCGTCTTAAATAATCGTGATCTCAATTTCAGTCACCATAATCGTGATTATTATTTTTGCCATAATCGAGCAGCCCTACGCCCCAGGGCAGCTGTGGCTACATCGTAGTTCATCCCCACCAGTGTGTCAATGGATGAATGATGCACTGTAGTGTAAAGCTCTAAGATACTATACAAGTGCATTTATCGTAAGTCTCACATCAATATGCTTATCAACATACAAGGCCATAGATGGAAAAACAGATGTTTTTAAAGAGCACAACATTTAATTTACATAACAAAAAAATTCTCAGAAATTAAAAAGATCACAAACCTTTAAGTTCCTTTAAATAATTCTTAAAATTGATGCTGTAGTGGCTTGTAATGGAGGAAACAAAGGAAAAAGACGATTGTGTTCCCTGTAAACAGCAGTCTGCTGGTAGGAGTTGTGATGTGCGATGGAAAAAAGACATTATTCAGACCGTAACAAGACCTGATGGAGTCTTTTAAAAAGGTCAAACCCTCTGCAGTTTCTTTAAATCTATGAAGCTCATTTTCTTGAATTTCCCATCGTGCCACATATTTGGAAATCAAGGACATCAAATTAATTTAGGCAAAAAAAAAAAAATCCAACAATCTAAAATGAAATAATTTTTAACAACCAAGTTAAAAAAATTCACATAGCTCACATTTTTGTCTTTTCTAATTACTTTTAAGTTTTAATCTGTTTCCCGCTTCTTTCCTTCTTATGTTTAATTAACCACCACTTTCATTACATCCAGCTCCTATCAAATATCACGGACGACGACTGGAAATAGAAACTCTCAGCTGATTAACTCCCCGCCTGTTAGTGATAAAAATGTACCGAGAGCAGTCAGATAATTATCCAGTTACATCAGTTTTTATTGTTTTATTTCAAGGTGAAAGCATCAAGGATGGCTGTTTACCAAAACGCTGTGGAGGGTGCAGACGTTTGACCCGTTAATGTTTATGTTTATTTAGCAGACGCTTTTATCCAAAGCAACTTACAGTTTATAACCTATAGGGCATGTTGTGATCTGTGGGGGAAACCGGAGTACCCGGAGGAAACCCACGCATGCATGGGGAGAACACGCAACTCCACGCAGGAAGGCCGCAGCGAAGTTTCGAACCTGCAACATTCATGCTGCGAGGCAACAGTGCTAACCACTGCGCCACCGTGCAGTGATTTAAAGGACTTAAGGGGTTTTCTGGTAATTTTATGTGCATTGTTATCAACACTGTGCAATCAAATGAACTTTACACACTTATTTTGAGCACATTTATTTATCGAAAGATGATGCAAAGGATAAAACACCATCTAGTAATTTTTTGTAGGCAAAGAAAAAAAATTAACAAAACTGACAAGGACTGTACATTTGTACACAATAAGTAACAAAATGGCCCTATAAAAATACTTATAAAATACTACAATAAAATTTCAACTGGCTTTAGAAACATCTTTCTAGTGAAAGTTCTCAAACATCACTCCCACAAGGAAAACTACAACAAACCTGCAGCAGGAAAAATTCAAACTGATCAAGACAGAAATAATTGAACTGAAGTATTTTTAATAAGACAGTTAAGACAAAATCTAAGAACATTTCATTCAAAAGGTGCTTACTCACACATAAATACGTCGCTCACAAACGCTACTTCCGGTTCATTATGTGCTCGGCCAATGTTTACATTTTGAAATACTTCCTCCTTTGTGTGCGAGTCTCTGTTTTGCCCTCAGGCTGTGTGGAAAAGTAGTGGAATATTTTCTTAAAAGAGATTTAAACATTTTCTTGGCCATTTTGAAGTGTCTTTCTGTGTAAAAATTAAAAATCTTTACTATCTTACCTGTTGTGGTAGTTAGCTTCCTGAACGGCCTCTGTTGGGCGTAGCTGCATTTATGCTAAATTTTGAGTGACAAAATGCAATCGCTATCTTACTAAAAGAGCTGAATCCTAAATTCCACAGCAATTTGTGAAAATATCAACCTTTACACTGATTTCAACTTCACTTCTACTAATTTCAGCAGTCAAGAAGACATTTCTGCCACACCTTGGACCACTGGATGACCTAGAAATGCTAGTTAGCTGCTGCTGAGAATTATGCTAACAGCAGAATTCAATATAAATGAGAGAATAACGGTGGTGCGAAGCCTTGAATTTTTCTCTGAACAGCGGCCATTCAGGTATCTAAATGCAACAAGTAAACTAGTTATTTGTGACTTTTAAACAGACTTCAAAATGGCTGAAATCTACTCCTGCAATTCATGCTATTGCCAGCAGTGGGCGATATTTGGAACTGCAATAATAGACAGACTTTATGTATATAATAACTTTATGTGAAATTTACCACATTTCAATTCTTTTTCCAGGATTGTCGACAATGGACATTGGGGTTTTCTGCAAAACACCTTCAGCAAGCAGAATGAGCCTCAAATAACTAAACAGACTCTACAAAGGTGGATTTTAACCAGTTGTGACTAAACATACATTGACTCTTTTTTTTCTGCTAATTGAGGGAAAATATTTAAGCAGACTCTCATTCCTCCCAAGTAAACTTGGGCTGGATTACATCTCTTATAACCTGGAATTGTGTCAGACCTAAAAAAGCAGTTCCTGCACCATGTAATTACTTTGCTGTACCTGTTCATTAGCACACATGTGTGTGATTTACACAGGTCTTAGAGTATAATTAAAAAGTATATTTTCTGTAATTATGAAATGGCCTTTTCCCCTCCACTTTACATTCTATACACTTTAAACTTCCCATGTATGGATGATCTTGTCTCTTTGGCGCTGTCTGGTGGTAACAATGTGTATGTACAAATACTCCACAAAGAGGAGTCCTTTGGGAAAAGGTGGTGAAACATGGAAAAGATCCTACAAACAGTGGCTTTAAGTGTATATTACATACTAGGTGTCCTGATCAAGTGATGGCCAAAACGAGAGTGGAGGTGAAGCATGACAATATTTGCTACAAAGATGTTAAACATGCTGTTACATCTACATTCAACAATTCAGTGACTTAAAATTTCCGTCTGAAACACAGCTGATCTACCAGCTAGTCAACACGGATACATTCTGCATCTTCAAGTCTTTCTCTGTTTGTTGTCTTCTTCTTAGGGGTTAGGATAAAAGAAAAGCATCAAAATGGGCCAGGACCACAGAGACTGCAGCGCTGATGCTCAGCAGAGGAATCGCAGGTGTGACCTTGCAGGTTAAACTCACAGCTGGAAGAAGGAAAAGTTCAACGAAATTGATTAAACATGTCATTTCTTGCTATTGCTAATCTTGCTATTTTATTTTATTTTTTTGGAATTTGTGTTTTCTCACTGCGGCAGCTTTGCCCATCCGGCTGCAGCATCCCAGTCACACAGCTGCAGATGGGCCCAGTCCCCTTGCTGGTGCAGATCTGCTCACAGCCCCCATTGTCATCCTCGCACCAGTCAGACTCTGGGGAAGAAGGGCAGTCATATGTAGCTAAAAGCAATAGAAGTTCTGTTAATTAAATGCAAAAACCCTAAATGAAAAGATTACAAAAATAAAACCTAAAAATGAATTTCAAAGTAAGATTCCATTAAAATAGTGTTTAAACAGATTTTTGTAGATACTGATTTACGTTGGGTTGTACCATCTTTTTAATTATTGCCTGTTTTGAATAGTTTTGTTGGGATGTGGTGTTTTCTACGATATTGTGTTGTCAGCAGTTGTATTATTGATGTGACGTGCTTAAAAATGACTTATTTTGTTAACGTTGTATTTTGTTTTTATTTCAAGATACCATATTTCTAACGTGTATGCTTTCCTGTTCATTTGTGCATTTGTTTTATTTTTTTGTTTTGCTTTTATTAGCTTATTTTATGTTTTTTTCCAAGTTTTCTGTAAAATATTTTTCAGTGACAGGGCTCTATCAATTTGGTGGCACTCTATCGGTTTGGTGGACCAATCTCAGTGCTCTATCAATTTGGTGGGCCAATCACAGAGCTCGATTGGTTTAGTGGACCAATCACAGCATTATGGGCCAATCTCAGTCAGCGCTCTATCGGTTTGGTGGGTTTTTGTTATGCAACAAAATGAAACAACAAATTGGTGGTGGTTTGTTTGAGACAGCTTTGGCATCAACTCTGGACTATTTAGACTTGAGTCTATGGGGTTAGACCCGTGCCAAAACCCGTGCACAGGTCCACATCACGCGTGTGAACGGGACTCGCGAGTGAAAATATACATGACGAGAGGTCATTTGTGCACTGAGAGGGAGCAAACTGTGTCTGTGAGCGCACAAGGATGTGCACAAGTGACAAACCTGCGTGCGCGCGTTGCCAATGAGCACACGGCAGAGGAAAACATGCACGCGCGGCAGCCTCTCTGCTCGCTCGGTTTCTGACTTCGCTCGCTCGGCTGTTAAGGGGTTTTGGCACTCTGGAGGCGTGACCTGTGGCAGATCTTCTCTGTCCTCTGATTGGTTAGTTTTGCTCGCACTTTACCCTCTACCTCATTGGCCCATTGGCTTCCTGTCAGACCAAAATGATGGTAGCTCTCTCGCTCTCGCTCTCGCTCGCTCTCGCTCTCTCTCTCTCTCTCTCTCTCTCTCTCTCTCTCTCTCTCTCTCTCTCTCTCTCTCAAAAACTAACCAATCTCTCAAAAACTAACCAATCAGAGGACAGAGAAGATCTGCCACAGGCCTTGCCTCCAGAGGGCCAAAACCCCTTAACAGCCAAGCGAGCGGAGTCCGAAACCGTGCGCGCGCACATTTTCCTCTGCCGTGTGCTCGTTGGCAACGCGCGCACGCAGGTTTGTCACTTGTGCACATCCTTGTGCACTCACAGACACAGTTTGCTCCCTCTCATTGCACAAATGACCTCTTGCCATGTATATTTTCACTCGCGAGTCCCGTTCACACGCGCGATGTGGACCCGTGCACGCGGTTTTGGCATGGGTCTAACCCCATATGAGTCTTTTCTCTGAGTCAAGAGCAGATAGAGGTACTTAAGTCCTTTTTTAAGAAAAAGGATGTAATTGCGTGTTCTTCGACAGTGTATGGCGGACTTTCTCGTTGAATGACGTCCGTAGCGGTGTGTTAATTGTACAGTAACGTGTGGCGACAGTGTGAAAGTCAACGGTAGATTCCGCCCCATGACTGAGATCTATCTATGGGTTGTGGCCAGACTATAGATTCACATATTCAGGTTGGCTAGGCGGCCCAGGATTCTATATGATCTGGTCAACAAACCTCTCCTTCTGATGGGTCCCACGGTCAGTATGTGCTCCTTATGGTCACCCTCCTCCGAGTACATCCTCCTTTTGTGGGGACAGTTCTGGATGCACAACACACACATGCATGCACGCACATACACACACATTAAGGACACACATCAAAGCGTTTCATCTAATCCGATTTAGGATGAAGGCTTGATGCAGCGTCTCACCACTTTGCAGGCGTTTGTGTCTGAGTCACACAGAGACACGTCACAGTGCAAGTGGACTTCGTCGTAATCCCCAATGAACTTGAAGACGGTGACATGGAAACGACAAGTGAGCGAGACGCCGTTCTCCGCCATACCGATGGTGTTGTCCTTTGTGTTTGGACACCTGGACAGGACAGATGAAGAGCTGTGAGTTTGGCGAGAATAGAACCGTGTGAAATTTGGCCTTCAAACAATAAATAAAATGTATTAAAAATGTGTAACAAAACTTTATAAAACAGGTGATATGGTTAAAAACCTCGAAAAGAGGATAAGGCCGCTGTTGAGGTCATCTGATTGTTTTATGCAGTTTTGTTTCATGATGATGTTGGTAGAAGATAAAAAAGTTAAAATACAACAGGCCATTAAAATGATCACATGAAATAATTTCTACACTCTTAAATCTGGTTTTCCAGCCTGAAAATGAAAGTTATTTAAAAAAAGAAAAAGTCTAAAAAATAATAGTTATGTCAAAAGAATTTTTTTAAAGTAGGACAAAACATTTAGAAAGAGTAAAACAAGTTTTTACAAGAGTTCAAAATGAAAAAAAAAATATTTAAAAAATTTTAAAAAGTAAAAAAAAAACAAGGAGAAAAAAATAAACTATTTCCCAAAACGAAGAAAGCGTGCCGAGATCAGACAATGAATGACAATTTATGGACAAATGAATGATGAGATGAATGAATGAACTAATGAACAAATGAATAAAATGATCAGATGAAACTAATGAAAGAATGAACAAATAAATGATCAAAATATTGAATGTATGGATGGATGGACGAATGAAAAAGCAATTCAATTAATGAATTAGAAAATGAATGAACGAACAGATGAATGATCAGATGAACGAATGAACAAATCAACAAACAAACAAATTATATAAAGTACAGATGAATTAATGAATGAGCAAATGAATGATCAGATGAACGAATGGACTATTGAAAGAATGGATGAAAGAATAAATTATCTAAATGTTCATCTAATGTACAAATGGGTGAACGAACAAACAAATGAATTAGTCAATTAGGAAATGAATGAATGAACAAACAAACTGTATAACGTACAGATGAATGAATACATTACTGAATGAGGGATTTAATGTGCAAATAAATGAATGAATAAATAAATAAAACTGATTGATTGAATAATGTACGGATGGATGATTAAACGATTGAATGTACGAACAAATTATCAAATGAATGAATGTGCAGATGAGTAATCATATGAATGAATGAATAAACGATTGAGGGATTTAAGTACAAATGAATGACTGAATGAAGGAATGAGGCTAGCTGTGGCCTACCCCCTCTCTATGATGATGTAACGGAGCCGGTCGCTGCTGTAGCGAGAGGGCGTGGCCCAGCACATGTTCACTATGAGGATCAGCTGGTTTTCATCTGCCCCCTCCACAAACACGCCCACAAACAGGATGTCCCGCGTGCTGAGCACCACCTCCCCCTCCCGGTACGGGTTGCGGTAGGAGGAGTTCTTGTACAGCGCCATCTTGGTGATGAAGTTTCCCTCCTGGGTCGGCAGCGTGAGGTTAATCACACTAGAGGGGGGACAGATATCAAAGGTAAATGTCGTCAGCCGTCTCGGTTTCCTCTGACATGAATTCTGATCGGCCGACCCCTGACCTGAGCATGGGTTTGAGGACGGTTTCCAGTGAGATCTTTAAATCCAGCTCATACGCACAGGAAAACTCCACGTTGATGGTTTTATCCCTGGTGATGACGTTTCCTGTGTTGTTCACACTCTCGATCCACACGGTGTTCTTATACATGATGTGTGTGCCGTTAGACTGCAGAGGGAGAAAGTCTTTTAGCGTTTTCTAACCAAACAAAGGATGAAAACACCAGGAATACTTCACCCTTTAACCGGCAGGTCAAATGTTATCTAAGGAACATTTTAATTCCAAGGTCTTATTGAAGTGAGCTCAAAACAAGCAACTAAATAAAAAGTCTAAAAATATATAAAATGGGTTTAATTAAATATCATAACCTTTATTGTCTAAAATTAATAAAAATAGAATAAAATGTACTGCCCTCTAGTGGAGGATTTACAGGTACATGATGACTAAGGCCCTGTCCACACGTAGCCGGGGATCTGCCAAAACTTAGATATTTTTCTACGTTTTGGCCTGTCATCCACACGAAAACTGAGTTTTTTCACACGAAAACAGATCTTTTTAAAAACTCCGGCCAAAGTGAAGATCTGCGTTTTCTCCGTTTTGGGTGTCTGCGTGTGGACAGACAAAACCGGAGTTTTAAGGTCCGCAACATCACTTTCCGCAACAAAAAAAATGCTGACATCACGTGTGCGACCTGTGTTTACACTAGCCGGCATCACGGAAGCTTTCAGAGCTGCGCTCTGTCACTACCCGATCCATCAATAGTCCAAGCGCTTTCTGCTTGTTTGTTTTTGCAAGAGGAATTACTGCTCCTTGCGGAAGACCACAGACGAAGGACGAGGTTAAGAACGGGGGAAGTACTGCCGCCTACAGGTCTGGCATGTCCTTAACAACGTATTTATCCGGCTACGTGTGGACAGAGTTTGTTTTTAAAACGCGGTGGTGTGGATGCAAGTTTTTGGAGGGGCGGATATTCGTTTTGAAAAAACCCGGCTACGTGTGGACTAGGCCTAAATACCCTGTATTTATGTAGCGCCTACTAGAGTTCTACATCCCCCCAAGGTGCTTTACAACACACCAGTCTTTCACCCATTCATGCACTGAAGTTCCAATTTTAGTCCTTTATTACAGTTTTATTTATATCATGTAATAAAAGAAAACTAGTTATTTTATAGATGGAAAGTTAACACCAGCCAATGAAAGGCTCAATTTTAAAGGCACACTTGGCAGTTTTGGTTGCTTTTAGCACCCACTAGTGTCTGTTATTAAGTCATTCACTGCCAATGACATTTGCATTTTTTTTTACTGTGTGGGCATCAGAACGAGCCCCCGCGTTGAGAGTACAAACATCCCAGCTCTGAAGCCGATCTTCATCCGCATGCGTCACACGTCACGTGATCAGGAAGTAGAAAATCCATGTGTTAGGAGATCGTTTTGGGCCGCTGCTTTACAACTCATTAACCGCCAATGACGACTAGTCTTCATCTGCATGTTTTTACTGTGTGGGCGTCGGAACGAGCCCCCGCACTGTCAGAACCAACATCCCAGCTCTAAAGCCAATCTTCATCCGCATACGTCACGCAAGCTCCCACAATGCGGCTCAAAAATTGAAGCAATCCCGGAAGTACCAAAAATTGCAGTTCCACCCTCTTCCACTAGGGGCTGGTGTCAGAAGCGAGCAAATCCTCATTGACTCCCATGTTAAAAATACCAATTTCACAGCAGAAATAAACATGTTTACAGCCTGGTTCCAGAACATGTTTTAGGTTTAAATGATCTAGTTTACACTCATGACAACTCTGAGGGGGTGCATTTTATTCTCACTCTTCTGTTTAAGTGTATTAAAAGCCTAAAATTCTGTATAATTAATGAGCATCAGACCCACGTGACCACAGAGCTAGCTCCGTGGAAAGGCCTCAGTAGAGCCTCGGTCTGGCCTGGAAACTGTTCCGGGATTTTGAGTCTCTGTGTTTGTGTATTCTGTTTTGGATATTATTTGTGCAATTGTTGGACAAAATGACTTGCTGTGGCATTAATTGCACTAATAGAGCGTCCAAGGAGTCTCCACTTCATTTTTTTCGTTAAGTAAAATAATATTTATGTATCTTAGGTCACTGCCGAGCTGAGCTTAGATTTTAACATGTACTGTTTAACCATGACATTTAAATGTAATAGGGTAAAACCCAGTGCATTTAACATAATGCTGCACTTTAGAAAATGGGTTGAAATATAACATGTTGGTGGAGCTGGGTTCCCACTATCGGCTTGTGGAGCTCTCTGAGACCTCCGTTTTCCACCCGTTCTCTCCTCCCCGCAGCTCGGCGCATCTCTGTCTGATCGCGGCTTCTGTGTGCTGCGTGGGCTGCCGGCTTGTGGAGCTCTGGGATGGAAACCTTTCCACCCGGTTCTCCCCAGCGGCAGCTCTGCGCATCTCAAATCGCAGCGGCGCATGTCTGCTGTGCGGCTGCCGGCTTGTGGAGTTCTCGGAGACCTCTGTGTTCCACCCGGTTTTACCCAGCGGTCAGCCCGGCGTATCTCTGACTCAGAAGCTCTGGTGTTGTGCACAGTTAACTCCGGTTGTAGCTAGGTTGCTACCTCCATTAGCTTAGCTACCACTTCCGCGTTAGCTTTGGGTTAGCTTCAGGTTAGCTTGTAGCTAGTTCGACCGGGTGTCGCCAGTTGATCCCAGCCTTACAGCCCCACCCTCAGCTCCACCTCTCTTCCCTTTTATGGAATTGTCTGGGCTTGACGGAACCTGTGACACGGTCAAAATGGCGATGGTGGCCACCTCCCATTTCTCCTCAAAAATTTGTTATTGGAGCCTCTGGAAACCCATTGTCCAATATTTATATGTCGATGGTCACACGTCACGTGATCAGGAAGCAGAACATCCATGTGTTAGGAGATCGTTTTGGGCCGCTGCTGTTAAAGTGAGGCACGAACTGGAATAGCGTCTGCTGATCACAATTCAACAACGGATTATGAAAGAACGGATAACGCTCGAAACGCGTGGATTCTTCCTGATGTAAGAGGTGAGTCTCCGCTTTGTTTTTGTTGTTTTGCCGTCAACATCGTCCTAGCGTGCAACGTTCTGTGACGCTTAAAAAAACAGTAAATATGGTGGGAAACACTGGCAGCGAAGGGCTTTACCTATCAGGAAATGGCTGGCAGCGAATGAGATAATTCTCTGTGGTTAAACCAAAAACCAAACTCCTCGCTGTGCGTTTGCCTTTTTAACAACTTAATCCAACAGCTGAAATGTCTCCCAGCCATCATTAGTGTCTACAGGAGTGATTCATCACTAAATTAAACTAATCAGCTGTGTTCATGATCTAAAACATGCAGGAAACATGCTGGAAGCAGACTGCAGCACCAGGTAGCTCAAGTCCCAACAGACCGGCCCGGCACTCTGATGTTGGAAATGCAGTATTCTGGCCACAGAGGGTGGTGGAGGTCTGAGTAACCCTGTAAAGGGTCATTTGATTTAAAAATATGAAAAAGTTTCATATGGTTTTAAGTTAGACTACTGTATTTTCTGGACTATAAGCCGCTAATTGTTTCCCACGCTTTGAACCGTGCGGCTTATAATGAGGTGCGGCTTTACTGAAGATTTTCCTTCACCTGCCACTAGGGGGCGCTTTAGCAGAAAGTGAAACAGGTGGAAGTCAAAAGTGGAAATCGAAGAAAGTGCTCATTTTAATTTAGCACATGCAAGCAGCCGGCACCACGAAGAATGTTTTTCAAATCCATCCCCCCTCATCATGGTAACTACACGTATGAGTTCATATGATGCCGCATTTAAGTTGAAGGCCATCGATCTGGCAGTAAAGGAGGGAAACAGTGATGCCGCACGTAAGCTTGGCATGAATAAATCCATGGTTCGGCGCTGGAGACGGCAGCGGGAAGAACTCGTTCATGCCAGCTTCACCCGGGGATGATGACAGCAACACGGACAGCGACACTGACATCGCCACAGAAAAGGTATGTGACGAAGCTCTTCTGAGGCTGTTCAACTCCGACACTGAAGAAGAGGATTTAGTGTGCAAGAGGAAGATGAGAGCGAATGACTTCTTCTGGTAGGCAAGTGTGTTTTATTTACTAGCCAGGCATATTTTGTGTGCAGTTTTTATTTTCTAATCATCCAGGGCTTATTAATGCTGTGTCAGCGCTGTTCTTTTCTTCTAAACATGCAGATTACCGGTAATAACGTGTCAGTGCTGTTTTTATTTTATAACCATCCAGAAATATGAATGCTGTCAGCGCTGTTTTCTTTTCTTCACTTGCAGGCACTTCACCCGTGTTTAAAATTTGTTTTGTTGAATTAAAACAACAACGAAAAACCTCCATGTAGCGTCTTTCTGTCTGATTATCTTATGTTATGGCCGTACATGCGCTGTGCGCCAGAGACCCGCATGTGGCTGCTGCGCCGCGGCTTGTACTTGAGTGCGGTGTGTATGTAGAAAACCTTTTTCTGTTGTTGGTGCGGCTTATTTTGAGGTGCGCTCTATAGTCCGGAAATTACTGTAGATACTAACAGAAGTCGGGACATCTTTTTTCTTTTGCAGACTTGTGGATTGTAAAGTTTTGGGGGCGTGGTTAATGTTCCTTTTGTAGCGACATGAATGGCCTCATTTGTCACCCAAAGGTTACACTTCCTCAGCTGGGTCAAGCTGTCCTAGCTGCGCTTCTATCTACAGATTATCCATCACAGGAGACTGAATGTCGGTCTACCACCCTTTTAATCTGACTGCCTTTATCGGACTGCTGTTCCATCCGCAAGACGAAGGACACTTCAAGATTTAAAAGAATAATTTTTAATAAACTCTTTTCACTGTCTATTACAATGTTCATAAATATTCATCAAGGTTCATTATAAATGCATTTAACTACTGAAATGAGTTATTATTCTTTGGTTGATAATAATTATTTAGGATAATCAGTCATGTTTAACAGTGATGAGAAGATCATCTGCACTTATACACACCATGCAGGACACAGTAATCAGGTTAAGGTTAACTGCACTCATATGTCTTTGCCACATGACAACCCAGAACTTTCTGTCTCTGAGAGGGCGTGTTCCGAGGTATGTTAAATCTACATGTCAAAATCTAATTTGTTAGAATAAGATTACCGGCCGTCTCTTAAAACCAAACTCCTCAGTTCAACTTCAGTTCTTGAGCTCACCAAATTCTCTCCGTGGCAACGAGAGTCCAGAGGATCGAGTTGGCAGTTCGAAACCTCTACTAAAGCTTTTCTGTCACGCCGATAGAATTGCTTCAACAGAAACACCATCTGCAGCAAAGCTGACGCCACGAGATTCCTTAAGAATCTGCTCAGACGCAAATCAATTCCACATCTGTGTGCCTGCGGCAGCTCTAGGACCAGAGAGTCGGTACCACTGGTCTACCCTACCGGACCGAGTACCCAGAGGCTGATCAACATCCTCCCTTGACCTCCGGAACTGAACAGAGGGTCGTCTGAACGGTGAGGTAGAACACAAGATTGCGTCTGAAATGCCTCTTTTAAGAAATAATTTAGCTTAAGTGCAAACCATATTCTACCACCCAGAACGCGTTTTTCTCTCTGAGATAAAAACCGTCTGAGCACCTACATTCACACATCCAAACACACACACTTCATGTTTAGTTTCATCCAGACACAGATTGCTTTAATACCAAGTTTTTAATGCCAAAGCTTTTATAAATTGCCATTTATGAATTGTCTTTTAAATTGTCATCTTTAAATTGTTAGTAATAAATTGTTAACTTTTTAAACCTGACTCTTCTTTGAAATAAAACACAGAGTGGTGCATTTGGTCATTGAACGAGCAAAGATCTCTTTAGCTCTTCTGAATTATTAAATAAACTTTTGCTATTAATTTAAATCTCTTAAATTAAATATTAATATTTTGATTAAATATAGACCAAGCGAGGTGGTGTATGAACTTTATATATATATATATATGATATAGGTTTCATTGCCAATTTGTTTGATCTTTCTCAGAATTTAACAAAGCTGAATAGCTTAAATTCTAGTTATGTAGATTAACAACGCTACACTTTTAAGGAAAAACTACGACATGTTTTGCTTTGTGACTATAAAAAACTAAATACAAGACAGGCAAGTTAAAACAAGCTGAACCTTTTATGAGGTAAAGTAAAATTGTGTATTAAAGGACCTGCACGATGGAGCCACAGTGTCCCTTTGTGTTGTTGATGTGGAAGGAGATGAAATCCTCTCCTTCGATGCCAGCGCAGCGCTCGTCGTTGACCCTGACGTCTTCTCGCTCGAAACCCAGCTGGAAGAGTTTGCACTTGGAGATGGACACTTCCATCTGAGCGTGTTTACAGTTCACCTCTGCTTGGATGATGTCATCGTCACCAGCTGGGAACAGATGGATTTCACGGCACTTTTAAAGTTTAAATTAAAAAGTTTTTTTTTAAATTTCCATCTTGGGAAGTCTTACCTGCTGTGTTGGTCGGTAATTCGGGACAGCCGCACAGATCGCCTCCATTTTCCAGCTCACAGGTGAAGTTTGTGCAGATCTCTCCGGCACAGGGGTCATAGATCCATTCTGCTAAAGAAAGGTCCACACACAATGTTAGCTGTCACACTCATAGGCCTTAAAAACATGACGAATGATGAAAAATCAGCTGCTGTTCTGAATCTTTTCTGACAATTCATTGGTCCAGTTATTTCAAATGCAAATTTAAAAGTAAGTCAGCATTTACACAGATGTGTTTTGCCATGAGTGTATTCCTTGTGTCCAGGAGACACTGGTGTCTCCCGTTGCCCTTACAGCAGTTCTCCTGGGCGATCCACTTGGTGGTGAGGGTCCCTAAGGACCGGCAGGCCTCAGCATAGGCTGCCAGCGAGCCGCAGACCTGAGCCTTGCGGTGGTTGTAGCATCCATCCAGGTAGCAGGATTGGTAGAAGGGCCGGGGGTCCAGCAGGCCGTGGCACGGCTGGAAGAAACCCTTCAGCTGGGTCAGCTTCTGACACGCGTCTTCACCCTGCAGAGCCAGGACCGCTGAGTTGTCACAGGATTGGGTTAAAGCCACATACTGGGTCTCATCGCAACTAAAAGACAAAAAGAGATATCCATATTGTAGATTTGGCCAACAAAATGAGACTGGAGAGTGGGCCGAACCGTAAAGCCGTCTTTACCTGTTCTGCATACCGTTGGTCTTCCAACTCTGGGCCAGCTCCAGAGCGCTGACAGCCGGCTTCCCCCTGGAGGTGATGTAATCATCACTGGGGTCCCCATTGAAATTCCCACATAGACCACACACCTTGTTCTGAAGCCTCTGGCCCATTGTGATGCTGAGAGTGTTGAAGCGGTTGTACCGGACCTGGATGTCCTGCGGCGTGTCAATGACGATGAAGCCTTCAGATGTGGACAGACGCGTCATGAGCCCCGTCAGGAACGGCACCGACACTGGCGTTCCGTTGACCTGAGAGGACACGGTGAGGGAAGCGGAGATATCGGGAATAAGAACGTCAAACCCTCTGGTAGGAAGTAAATGAGAGTAAACGTTTGCTTGTAATTAAGTTTTAAAACACAATGATTTGATTTGTTATCAGTGAAGAAAAAGGTTTCGTTTTCATCTTTGGAATATTTCTTGGGTAAAGCCCAGTTTACACTGTGTTCATTGACCGCTGTAGACAAAAATCTATCAAAGACAATGACATCAACATTGATGGCTATAATATTTTTCGTGCGGATCGAGAGAAAAAGGTGGAGGGGTGGCAATGTATACTGTATCAAGCACCGTTTTACAGCTGATGTAATTTTATCGAAATCTTTGAGCAAAGAACTGGAAATTCTAGCCGTTGATGTTGAAATATCTAAAGATCAGCACATCATGGAGGTGGGATGTTATAGACCTCCATCGGCTTCTAATAATTCATTGTCTATAGTGATACATTTTTTGTCGCAGTTAAAATACAATGAAGTACTGATTGTTGGTGACTTAAATTATGATTGGCTCGCATCTGCTTCTGATGCACTGAAAAATCAATGTCATATTTTAAATCTTACTCAGCTGATTGACTCTCCCACGAGAATCAACTCGAAATCTGTTAAAAAAATCAACACTCATTGATCTAGCATTAACAAATATGCCATTTAAATTTGTAGCGACTGACATTTTCCCAAATGATATGAGTGATCGTTGTGCTATAGCAGTTGTACGGGATACAAAAGTTCCTAAAAGCAAACCACGCATGGTAACTAAACACAATATGAAGATATTTTCTGAGCAAGCTTTTTTATATGATCTTTACTGTTTCCTTTGGGAAAGAATAGCTTTTTTTGATGATGTGGAACTAGCTTGGAATCATTTTCTCCAAAGCTTTAATAATATTATGAATAAAAATGCCCCCTTCAGAAATTTTAGAGTAAAGGGTCGTGAAAATCCCTGGTTTACAAATGAATTATCAGAGTTGCTTCATGAACGAAATGTGGTATGGGACAGGGCACGAAAGTCAAAATGCCCTAAGGACTGGCTTCTTTTTAAGCACTTAAGAAATAAATGTACTTTACTCTTACGAAAGACAAAATCAAATTTCTATCTGAACAAATTAACTGAAAATCTAACTAATCCTAAAAAGTTTTGGAAAGAAATCAAAGCACTATCCTCATCAAAGAACTGTACTCATTTACCTTCAAATATACATGTGGAAGGCAAAAATATTAGTGATAAAACGGAAATGCTAAATTTGTTTAATACACATTTTGTGACATCAGGCTCATCATGCCATCCACCAGACCGTCAAACTCAACAATCTGGCATTGTCAGAAACAATAATATTGATGTTTTCAACTTTAAACCATTTACAACATTTGAGGTAAAGAAAGCCCAAAAACAACCCAAATCTTGGAAACCAGCTGGTCCAGATGGACTAGAACCATTCTTCCTCAAGCTTGCATTCGAGTACATTGCAGAACCTCTGTGTTGCATTTTTAATCTTACTTTGAAAACAAATAAAATACCTAAAGATTGGAAATCTGCATTTGTGCTGCCAATTTTTAAAGGTGGAGACCCAAGTAACTTAAATACTTATAGGCCTATTTCAAAGCTCTGTAGTGGCTAAGGTACTTGAATCCTTGGCCAATGATCAAGTAAAGATTTTCCTTACATCAAACACTATACTATTTGAATACCAGTCAGGGTTCAGAAAGAAGCATAGTACCACTACAGTAACCATGAAAGTTTTGAATGATATTACTGAAGCTCTTGACAACAAGCAATGCTGTCTTGCACATTTTATTGATTTTACAAAAGCATTTGATACTGTTGACTATTCAATCTCGATTGATCGACTTGTAGAAACTGGCTTTTCTAACCAGGCTGTAGGATGGTTCAAACATTACTTATCAAACAGTACCGGAGTTGTACAGCTAGATGGTGCTGTTTCTGATGAACTTCAGCTATATAAGGGAGTCCCACAGGTATCAATTCTTGATCCATTACTTTTCACCCTCTACATAAATAACATTGGTCTAAGTATTCATAATGCTAAATTACATCTTTATGCAGATGATACAGTTATTTATTGTTCTGCCCCAAACTCTACAAAGGCATTTCAGGATCTTCAATCAGCATTTGATCAAGTGCAAGAACAATTGTGCCATTTGCGGCTTGTACTAAATGCTGATAAAACTAAACTTATGTTTTTCTCTCCGTCAAAAAGAAAAACAGAGAATAGGTCCATTTCTACTGGTCTGGGTCATCAGATTGAACTAGTTTCTAGTTTTAAATATCTGGGTTTCTTAATTGACGATAAGTTATCTTTTAAGCTTCATATCCAGTATTTAACAAAAAAGTTGAGATTTTTATTAGGATTTTAATACAGAAATAAATCTTGCTTTTCTTTTACGGTAAAAAAGAGGTTAGTAGAATCAACATTTATGTCTGTAATAGACTATAGAGACATCTTGTACATGAATGCCCCTGTGCACTGTTTGAGCATGTTGGACAGTGTGTATCATAGTGCCTTGCACTTTATAACAAACTGTCGGCCTCTTACCCATCATTGTTTGTTATACTCAAAAGTGAATTGGTCTTCATTGCGGGTATGCTGACTCATGCATTGGTATGTTTTTATTTATAAAGCTGTGTGTGGATATTTGCCTTTTTATTTATCATGTCTTTTATCAAGAAAGCAGAATCAGTTCAGCCTCCGCTGAAGTGAACTTTTGCAATTTGTTGTTCCCAAGGTTCGCACAGAGCTGGGAAAGACGGCTTTTAGCTTTGCTGCTCCATCGACGTGGAATTCACTACAGAAAGATCTAAAAATCAAGGATTTGGTTTCCTTGAGTGGATTTAAGACTCTGATTAGGTCATTGGAATCCAGACGAACAGTGTGTTCATGTTTGAATTGTGACATAGTCATAATTAGCAAAGATCAAAAACATACATTGTGAGCCAGACTTTATGCAAATTGTCTCCTAAAAAGGAGAATAAACATTAAAGATCCAATTTAAATGAATTTAGAAACTCCTGCAACCAGTATGACAAGTAATGATACACCACAAACCCAAAGGTCTACCACTTTATCCTAACACTAAAGAAAAAAAGCTTGATGTTGAAGTTGGGGTATCATCTGCATACATGGATATCTTATAAATACTGATTCACTTCAAAGGAGACAACACCAGGTGCTGTGATTGCTCTGAACATGATCTGAACAACTTCAACACACTTAAGCTAATGCCAACATAGTTCTTACACCGCTTCAAGGCAACGCTGGGGTTAATAGCTCACCTGGATTCAAGCAGGATAAGGATGTATCAGGCTTTAAGGTAATCAGAAGATCTTTATCTAGTAGAGTACACTCACAGCTGAATGCTATGGCCCAGAGCCAGAACCGGAGTACCCAACAGGCTATTAGTGGTCAGGTAATTGGTCAACTGGACAGAAAGGACTTTTTCAAGAACTCGGAAAGTAACTCAGATTTGAATTAGATCCATTTATACAGTTGTTAAAGGTTTCTTGGACAGCACATGACATTTATCCAACAGAAAGCATTAAAAAAGGAACAAATCTCCTAGCTGGAATTGCTGCTGCAACATTAGAAACAACAATGTCCCTTATTCTATTTCTATACGCTCTGAGACGGGACAGAAGGGTGAAACCAGTGCTTTACCTTGACAGTGCTGCCAGAAATGAGTATATTCTCCTCGTTAATGTAAAGGTAGACATGAGAGATGGTGGTGAGGTTGGGTGTGCTCCATTTATCAAAGTTAGCAATGAGCTGGAAGGAGAGGTCAGGCAGCTTGTGGCAGTTTGTGGACAGGACAAAAGAGCAGGACGCAGGAAGACGCAGCGACGCCCCATCAAATGTCCTGAAGACCCCCCCACCCGAGGCTACGCAGTGCTGGGAGCGCCGTGCAAAGCAGCCTCGGACTCCATGACGAAGCGTGCACTCCTCCTCTGCCTTACAGCGTCTGGGGTCACACTGGACCAGGTTTCGTCCAATGCACTGGCAGCGTTTGGTGCAGTCGCTGTTCCAAAACAGCTGTTTGGGCTAAAATGAAAGAAAAAAAAAAGGCTTTAGACAACGTGAGGTAAAGGGAGGATTTACTATTGAAGGTAGAGAGCACAGACCTCATAGTACTTTCCGTCTGTGTAGCAGCCACAGTTCTGAGACAGGATGCAGCTTTTGCCATTGAGCACGTAGCCCTGGTCACACTGGCAGCCCTCCGTACAGTCCTGGTTGCAGTCCCTCTGGCCACGGGCGGGAGCACACTGGGGCGGGCAGACCGACACACAGCTGGAGTAATGGCTGTTGGGAGGACAGGTCAGCACTGGGAGAAAGAAGGCAGGAAAAACATCAGCTGTTTATTATGCTGAGTCTTCTTGTTAGATCATTTGGGGAATGTTGGGTTTTGTTGTCTTTTTCAGAATGTAGAACCAATTACTGCATATTGATGTCTGCAGAAGTTCACGAGTTCATGTAAACATGCTTAAATAAACCTCTACATTTTATTACATCAGTATTTTGGCAGAAATGTCAGTTTTTTCAGACAAAAATGCTCAAGGCTAGCTAGCGGCTTAGCAAATATTTACGTAATGCAAAATGGATAACCATGCAAAGGTTTATAAGATGTTTTGCTTGAACTGGTAATATTTTTTTAAATTTGAGGTTTGAATTGTGTCTTTAGTCTTGCTTTAATTAGCCTTTAGCTCATCAATCCAATCGAGACTGAAATTCTAATTCTCCAAACTGAGGCTGCTCAAACAGCTGTGATATTAGTTTGTTCATAACCTTTCACAGAACACCACTTCAGGTATTGTAAACCGTTGTCCTGACTCAATTTACATTAAAGACGGGAACAAAGGTCAAAAATGTAAATACGCCTCAACTTTGATTATAGAAATATGGATATCTAATAGTAATTTGCAGCTGTGTTTGCCCTAAAATATCATATTCCACATTGGTAACTCCAGATGTAACACACCATCTGTGTTATTGAGCTCTTACATGAGTCATTTCAATAAAAACAGAATCAAAGTCTGCAGAACAGCCTGGCCAGGGAGGATGGGGAGGGGTACAACACACGCATTGTAAAAATGGGTTTTGCCTGCTGCATGCAGTCAAAGCAGAGGTTAGAAGATGAAAGGACTCACCACACGGTGTGTCACTCCTCCAGCCAGTTACAGGCACTCCTTGAGCCTGACAGGTGCTGGCATAGACCTGAAGCCAGTTACAGATTGTATCCTGAGCTCCTTGATCCAAGCAGGTGTCCTGCAGGCAGCTTTGGTAAAAGAACGCTGGCGCCACCTTGCTGTGACAGCGTGCAAAAGCACCTCCCCGATCCACAATCAGCCCACACAGCCTCACTGCTTCAGGCTCCACAAACACATAGAGGCCATCTCCAATGTGGAAACGAATGCCCGTGGCTACTCCGTTATCCTCGTCGCCATTTTCGTTGGCATCGGACACTGTGAGAGGGGCTGTGTTTGACACGCTGTTCTCGCCGAGGCCGCAGTGTGGACAAGAGTCTCCACAGCCCACCTGGCAGAAAGTGTCCCTTTCTGCCCAAGTCATGCCCCAGTCAGTAGTTGTTAGTGTGGGTGGGAATGAGGGCATGCCCTGGCAGAGACCACAGGAAGTGTTGTAAAGATCCCGGGGTAAAGTCAGAAGGAGGAGAGTATTCCAGTCAAAAGCTGCCTTCAGGCCAAAGTCTGTCTCCAGGATGAGCATCATGCCTGAGGTGAAGATGTTGACCTTTCCCAAACCCAGCTTCAAAGGAAGATACAAACGTTCCTTGTTGACCTGAGTGTGGAGAGGGAAACTGGTTCTAGTTTAAACACGGTGAACACAAAACAGGTCCTACGCAGGACTGATTTCTACCACCAAGTCGGAGTTTCTAATGCTGCTGACTTGCAAGTTTTCAAAGTATGTGGGGAAGTCCAGGCAAATACTTACTGACCTATCAGTAAAACCCTATAAGCAACAATGAGATGGGGATAAGCTGAAGGAAAGAGGGTGTGTGAGTAGTCAAATATGTGTGGAAGTGTGCGCCACTTCTCCTCAGATCTTTTAGTGGGTTTGTGAACCCGGTCCAAGTGTCGCTCAGGGTCAGGGTTTCATCTGAGCCAAATCCAGCCGGATAAAAGATGCCGGTTGAAATAAAATCCTCCTTAAGCCAATCAAAGAGGAATTCGCTCCCAGCGTGGTTATTCTATCAGCTTGATTAGAAATAACATTTCCTGACAAGCGCAACAAATACGACCTTCACAGGACAGAAAAAAGCAGGCTAATATAGGGCAAGCCTCAACGTTATATAAGGTGTTCCCTACAGCGCCTCATCATGAGAGTCAGACTTTCTTTTAATGTTTAATGTGGTCTTGATTGGTACATCTCAAGATTGTCTAAAGGTCTTGGTTATTTCTTTGTCTTGGCTACTTAATTTCACTCCAGTATTAGAAAAACGTTTAACTTTAGGCTCCAAGAATGCATAGAATCCAATTATGAATGCATAAAAATTGCCTCCAAACTTAAGGGATGAATCAGTCAGCCAATTTTAAATATGATCGTAGGTACATTTTCATCTGTAGCCTGTTACGAAGACAAAATATGTTCTGTTCCCCAAAAATAAATCTGTCAGGTCCTGTTAGAGATTTGTTTAGGCTCGATGCATCCTGTATGTATGCTCATGGTCAGGTAGAAGGATGGGAGAAATGGAGTAAAGCAGCCATTGTCCAAAGCCATTGACAACCACTGGTCAAGACAACTTTTAAACATTATAAAGAAGTCCGACTCCTTGAAAGCTATAAACGAAAGGTCATGAATAAGTTAAACCCTTTGCACAATCCCATACATCTGCACTGTTCGTGTACTTACAGTGACTGTGTTTCTGTAGCTTCGAGACACTTCGATTTCATACTCGTAGACCTCCAGAACAAAGCCCCTCAACCAGATGGCCTGGCCTGTGTCTCGTTCCTCATTACGAGCTGCCAGTTTAAACTGTGGAAAGGTTCCACTGGTCAGTGTGTTCTCTCTGCCCCCCCTTCTACAGACGCTGGTGGCCATCCTCAGAGTACAAGAGCTCTGGAGCTCAAATGGTACGCCGCCAAAGGGCAGAAAATGACCGTAGCCAGCAACTACACACAAGGCCTCGGTCCGGGGCTGGCAGAAATACAGGCCGTCACTCTCCTGGCAGTATTCCTCAGGATGGCAGGGCGAGAGCTGACAGTATACGCTGTTGTCAGAACCGTTGCAATAGCAGCGCTCCTGGCACTCCCAGTCTGTCCAGAAAGTCTGATTAGTAGCCAGTTGGTGACCGTGACTCATGCAGCCGCAGTCGCTTCGAGCCACGCAGAGCCCATCTCGAAGCGCGAAGCCGTCTTCACACTGGCATCCCTCTTGGCACGGCAGAGGGCATGGCTCCTCGGGCTCATCTAGGTTGGTGCAGGTCAAAGGGCAAGCACTTGTGCATTCCTCAAAATGACTGTTATCTGGACAAGGAAGAGCTGGAGCAAAACACCAGAAGATGAGAACAAATTCATTTTACAGTGGAGATGGACCACAGTGACCTACAGATGTGATGTTTCGTCAGCCATCTGATGCAGATACATATCAGTTCACACGATTCTCAGGAATTACAAATGACCCCTGCTTTCAATTAAATGACATAGTTGTGTTTTCGGTAACCTTAAGGTGTCAGGTTCAAAGTTTGTTTGGGACCTTCATGAAAGATAGTTTTTGTTTCTATTCAAGTGCTTTATTTAAAACACACACACACACACACACACACACACACACACACACACACACACACACACACACATGCGCGCGCGCGCGCGCACACACAGGTAACGGTTCCTTTTACAGTCCCCTAATTACTAAGTACTTACATGGTAATTACATAGTAAGTTAGTGTATTAATGTTTCTGAGACCATAAACAGTTATTACCATGTAACTCAGGTTCAATTCTATTTTTACTTTTATTAAAGTAAATACTGCTTTACACAATAATCAAACTTTATTACAATTATACACATTAATTACAAAATACTACACTTTAACTTACTATGTAATTAACATGTAAGTACTTAGTAATTAGGGGACTTTAGAAGGAAGTGTTACCAAAGCATGCTCAATGAACGGCCTGAACTAGAATGGATCTTTTTATGGGGCAAAGAATGACGTTTTACCTTTCTGGAGTAAAACACCTGCATATACTGGCCCATTGGAGTATCTTTATATTGCCAGGATCATTCAGATATTTTTAATTTCTTTGCTTGTTTCAATAATTTTCTAATACGTTTGTGACGGACATACAATATACAGGTGAAACTGCAAAAATTAGAATATGGTGCAAAAGCCTCTTCGTTTATTTCAGTAATCCAGCTTAGGGAGACCACAACACGAAAAAGCCACCAAAGACCTATGACTCATATGCAACCCTTTTTTTTTTAAATACACTGTTAAAGCAGGAAGCACTGTTCATTTTAAGCTGTTCAGGAGAGGGATTTTGCAATAGAGAGCATAATTCCCTTTTGTTTAACTTTTGTCACTCAGTTGGCATCAAACATGTATAAAAACCAGATACAGGCTTTAAGGAAGAGGGAAAGCCCCATGAAACATAACAAGATCTCTTTCATGTTAAGAGATATCTACTTACGGCAATTGGTAGCACTCCTCCAGGAAGCTAGGCCTATTTGGGCATCCTGACAGGCTGTGGCGTAAGCATGCAGTGAGGAGCAAAGAGCAGAACGGTTCCCTTCTCTTACACACATGTTGTACAAGCAGTTCCTGAAGAACGGTGAAGGATTGACCACTGAATGACATGCCAGAAAAGAGCTGTTCCCTGGGTCGTTGATGTTTCCGCACATCCAAGGGCTCTGGTAAAGACGAAGGTCGGTGCACATGCGATACAGGTCATCACAGTCGCCGTTGCAAGTGAGGTCATCTGCAATCGACTTCCAGGCTTCTGTGAACTGTTCGGTGTTATCTGCCAGGCGTCCATTGGGGAGGCGCAGGTCATCTGTGACGTTGCTGTTAAAGACGCCACACAAGCCACAAGTAACGTTGTAGAAGATTGTAGAAAGGGAGATGTTGAGGAATCCCTGGCGCGTGTACTGAACACGAAGGAGACCTCGAGATTCCACAACCGTGGCATTTCCTGGTGCCTTGTAGATCATCATCGTCTCCATTGGATGGACAAACGGGAGAACGACTGGTTCACCATTCACCTGAGACACAAAAAACCCCGTTGAGTGTTGTATAAAATTAAAAACACCTAAAACAATATAATAATTCACTAACCTTTACTGTGTCAAAATCTGACCCTCCCACCTGCGCCTCAAGGTTAGCCACGGTAACTATCACAGGTCTTTTCCAAACGGGACCTTTGTTCATTAGCCTCCTGCCAATCTTCACTTCCACCACTGATCCATTAGCCGGTGTTGGCCCACACAGTTTTAGTAGATAGTAAGAGCTGTCATCGGGGAATAACAGAAATGTGCCATCGAAGGAGGATGCGATTGACGTCTGGGTGACTGAACACACTCCCTCCCTCCGAGGGTAACAGCCTAGTAAGCCCAGCTCGGCCACACACACTTCACCCTCCTTACAGGACTCATTGAAACAGGAAACTTGTCCAGCTATACCACAAGTGCAGCGGAGTGTACAGTCACCTTCCTCACCACGGGGGCCTGCCCAGAAAGTGCCGTTGAGGGGGTAATAGAGGCCGTTATGCTCACAGCCACAGTCGTCTTGTTGTACACAACGACTTCCACTCAGAACATAGCCAGGGTCACACTGGCAGCCTTCGGTGCAAGGGTGTACACAGTACAAGGGAGAGGTGAGATCTGAGCAGGAAGCTGGACAGGCACTTGTGCACACTTGGTATTGACTAAACTCCGGACATGAAAAGGCTGAAAGCCAAAAAGAAACAACAGATTATGTTAAATGAGGCCCCTTAACAATGTGGATTGGAGTAAATTTATGTGTGTGAGAAATCTTACGACAGAAAGTACGAGTTCTCCAGGGTCGTATTGTGACACCAAGGGCCTGACAGGCTAAAGCGTAGGCCTGGATGGCATGGCATAGTGTGGTCATATTATCCCTGTAGCTACACATATCATATACACAACTGTACACAAAAGCTGTCGGGTCCACTACAGCTCTGCAGTCTCGAAACGGTCCATCAGTTTTGTTGATTAACCCGCAGTAGTCAGAGCGAAAGTACGTGGCCTCGGCAATGTGGTCGCAAACACTGCAGTTTTGAGTGCAGCCATCAGTACACCTCCAGTCTGTGTCTTCTGCTCGCCAGCTGCCTCCCAACTCCACCACACTTTCTGCCAATGAGCCATCAGGAAGAACAGGATCATCAGCGGGGTCGTCATTGTAGTTTCCACAAAGGCCGCAAGTATTGTTAAAGTAGGAGCTTGGTAAGGAGATGGATGCATAGTGTTGGCCATCGTAGGTTACCAGGAGTCCAAAGTCTGTTTCTAAAGCAACAGCCACCCCAGACTGGTACACCTTGACTGCACCAAGTTGGAGTTGGACCGGCAAGGTCTTCACTAATCCATCCACCTTAAGTTGGAAACACACAATAAAACAATAAGACAGTGAAGAAGGACAAAGACTGAATATAAACTGTTCTATTGAAATGGCACAGAGGTGATTACCGTAAATCCTCTAATATTAGCCTGTATTCAATTAACTGCCAGATATCACATTTTGGCCAGTGTCGGAGTCGGCGGAGGTGAATAATGGCCGTTTTTTTATTGTGGCCGGGTGGGGGCGGTTGTGTCATCCGTCTCACTTTTGATTTGCCAGTGAGGGTAACTTTAACCGTGCGGAGACGAAGAGGAGGCGAAAATTTGATATCAAGTTCAAAGAGAACGTGCTGATTATGCTGCAGAACACTCTGGGGAGCAGTAGCAGGGGTTGTCTGAACTAGTCACTAGTCGACTTCACCGCTCTATAGTGACTTGTTATGCCTGTCATTGACTAGTCGCTGTCACGTGATAATGACCGGCAAGATGCAGTCCTCGGAAAAGACAGCAGCCTGCTGTCAGCAGGTGACACGCTCCTGCGCTCGGGGGGGCAACGCGCTGTGCCAGAGCGTCGGTACTGACACCCGCCGTAAAACGGACATTTAACCAAATTGCGACCTTTACCCTCTTGCAATTTAACCTTCCCCTCACCCCCATCCTAACCTTAACCAGCTTGCGCATGCAAAGCTCTGATTGTTGACACGCTCCAGACATCTGCGTCCTGAGCACGGCCACAGTAACATTATCAAATCAGGTGTCGCCACCTCAAAAACTAATTTAACACGCGATCGTTCATGTCGGCTCATTTCCTTTTATGTTTTCTGTCTTTTATTCTTTTATTTGTGCCTGATGCGTTTCGCTGCTGTGGAGCGGAGCGCATCACCTGTTTTGTCCTCCGGTGACGCACCTCACCGGTGCGGCCGGCGAGCACTCCGCTGTTTTTGCGGTCGGTAGATCTTTTAGAACTGCAGTTCAAAGGTAACTCATGAGGTGAATATATATGAACCCAGGTAGCAGTTTCTCTTTAGGATTGAGAGGAGATGCAGGAAGATAATAAACAGACAGGACAGAAAAATAGTCAAATAACAACAAGTTAGTTTTTGTACCTGCTGGTTGCAACAAACAGACACCATTGAAGGAAATCAGAAGTGAGGAACAGAAAATAATAATAATTATTTTAATGTTTAGAGCAGCAGGAACTCTGAGGCTGCAGGCGCATCAGCGAGTTTGCGGCCGCTGCGCAGGGGGAGGGGGGAGAGGGCTGAAGCAGGGGGAGGGGGGAGAGGGCTGAAGCAGGGGGAGGGGGGAGAGGGCTGAAGCAGAAACTACCGTTGTTAAAAGAAATGTGTTTAACTTTGAAAATGTGGGCTCAATTTTAATTGTCAAAAACTCCAGCGAACCATTAGTTCATTTTGCTCAAATAGAAATAGAGGCCTGCCTCTAATTCTGGCCCTCCTTCCAATAAAGGCCTGGAGCTTGATTAGCTTGAGTCAAATACAGGCCCGGGCCTGTATTAGAGGATTTACGGTAAATATTAAAGATGTTCTCACCTGAACTGTGCCCAGACTGCCTTTAGGTATCATGACTCTGTGACCATACACCTCCACTGTGACATCTCTTAGCCAGGAAACAGAAGCCACCCCACGGTTCTCGTTTTTGGCCTCCACACTAAAGAAGGGCAATCCTAACATCTCCCAGCAGGGCCGAGCTAGCAGGTAGGAGCAGGTGCCTTGGAAGTGATAAAGGAATCCATCAAAGGTGTGATAGTGGGGGTCCCCAAAGACCACGCAAGTACTGGTGCGGGTAGGCTGGCAAAAAAAAGCCCCTTCCTGCTGCTCGCAGTTCTCAAACTGCCCACATGGAGCCTCCAGACACTGCACCTCGTTATTTATGTCAAGGCAGCGACATCGCTGAGAACATTGGTCAGACAACCAGAAGATCTCCCCTCGTCTGTAGTAACGCCCTAAAAGAGATGAAGGAGAAATTTAAAGGTGGTGAGAAACTGGATTAAGTCCCAGCCCAAATGAAGAAACTAGACAAACATGGACATAAGGGTTTCATTTTTTGAACTTGCCATTGTGGCTGCAGCCGTTGGCAGGGTCTATCAGTTCAGTGTCTACGCGGAAGAACCAGCGTCCTGGAACGTTTACGTTGGTCGTCTGCTCAATATTTACAACATCGTTTGACCGCGATCCAGGTAAGTTGAAGAAATGACCGATGTCTCCGCCATTAAAACCTGCCTAAAAGTTGGAGTTTTCCATGTAATTCTGGGACCAAACAAAGACTTGTACATGAACGGATTTTGATGAACTGTAGGAATACCTGAGCTGTTGTCCCACCCAGCCCAGTTAAAGGATCTCCACCACTGGCTGTTCCTGTGCTCCATGTGATTTCTCCATAGTTGAACATGCTGTAGGACACTACTCCATCTGAGATGAGCACAGTCTGGAATGTGTTCACCTGAAAACGGAGCAGGCATTGTTTCAAAGTCAGAAAAAGTGTAGTCAAAAGGAAAGGAGCCATGATTGTCAGACACCATTTTAAAAGGTAAATAAATGTTCCCTCTTAAGACACATCGAAAGACTAATAACAATAATTGATATTATATCAAATGCTACAAAAGTTAATTGTATTGCTGTATCTTTTTTTAATTAGTTTTAATCTGGAGATTTTGGCTTCTGTCTCAAAACCTGCCGCTTTATGTGTCCAAATACAAGATCCAGATATTTAAACAAAGTTCAAACTTTACCGGGGTCGTCTGGCTTCCACCATAGAAGGTCACTTGGTGCCATGTTGCAATAAAGACCCACGAGGCCGTAAAGGTGGGCATGTTTTTGAAGTATTTCTGAACATCTTGTGTCGCCCTTTCCAGTAGTTCTGGGTCTGTGGTCTCTCTATAGTACACATCTCCACGGATGCCGTTGTGCACATCTGCCCAAAGTGGAGCGATGAAAGATCTGCTGTCGCTCAGAGGAAAAGCCTCTGGAGTAAACTGGCTAACCTGAACGTTGAAGGAGATCACACCATTGTTGTTGACCTGTTAGCAAGAGATGAAACAAATAGGCTGAACAGCAGAGACATGGTGGATAGTTCAGATGTTTTCAATTGGAGCAATTATTCATGAACTTTCTTAAGAACCCATCTTCAAAAAAACTCAGCCGATTTTCGAAGGAGTTCAAACAAAATACTTACATATATGGAACGGTAGGGTGCATTGAAGAAAACGAAGGGGAGGAGCAACGTAATTTCCGCCGAACTCCCATCATCCATCTTAGGAGTTTCTAGATCCCTGTGACCCGGTCCATATGGATACAGGAGATCCTGAGTGAGAGCTGAAACCAAAGAAGGATGTAGAAAAATTACATTTTTCCATAAAATGAAGACGTTTTTAGGAAATGTTGCAGAATTTAGGACGCCTCAGTACCTTCTGTTTGTGCGAGAACGCAGAGTTGGATTAGAATGAGTGGACAGCGGAGTCTGACCATTCTAAAAAAAAAAAGAGTAGAGAAAAAAAGAGACAGATGAGGAGAGGGATTGTGTTGAAGTCATGTTACTTAATCTGTGTTGCATTTTCTTTAAAGCTAATGGAAGTGCAGGAAGACGTGAGTCATAGGACCGCCCCTCATAAACAAGAGTGTTTAACAAAGCAAAGAGGAGGGAGAACCATCCAACCAGCACCACGTTACTTCTTTAAGATCAGGCTCCCAGGTCTCCCATGAGGATGACTGAAAAGACCCCATTATGCATGTCAGAACAATGTATCAGGATCATATTTGCCTTTGGTCCCATGCGAGCCAACAACGGTTGACTACGAGTCTCTATGCACCTCGGTTCCTCGCAGCTGATGGCTGGCCCTCTCCCCTCCAACGTCTCTGTGCCTGAAGCCGTAAGGCTGCTCTGGACCTCATTACTACTTCTGTTTGGGACCTATCCATGCTTTGTTGGCTAAAGGAACAGGAGTGTAAACACTGGGGCACTAATGGCTTTAAGTGAGAAGGTTTCAATTGCCGGAGACCTTGCAGTGGCCCGTTGGGACTGTTCAGTGTCGAGCCTGGCATGTTTCCCACTGAGAGAGTTGAACGAGCAGCCAAGATGGGTGTTTGTTGTCACCATATAATAATTTAATGTTTATGCACATCTTCACAAGTTAACACAAAATCGTCAGAATGTCAGGATGTTACTGACGTTTCTAGCATGCAGTTGAGGTCAATTTGAAAATTAATCAAGTTCTTTCGATGACAATCTCATCAATGTCACCGGAACAGGCAACGGCACCATCTCCAACTTGAAAAGGCTCAGATGTGAAGAACTTGAGCAGCTGGAGACACCTGATCAGTCTTAAATTAACAGACAAACGTCCTCAAAGAGAAGCGCTTTTGTCCAGTCAAGTTTTAAGTATTGCGATTTCTTTTGTACGTATACGGTTACTTCTGTAAGATCAAGATTGTGACTCAAGGCTGCAGAATATGGCTGTCTTATTTGTAGCTAATAAAGGTAAATCAGCAATATTTTTATGTTTCTCTTGTTTGTTTTTAAAACAAAAGAATTTTTCCTAATTATAACGATCATTATTAGATTTTATTGGAAAGCCGACACATCCTTGATGCTTCTTGAATTTTGGACTTTTTGGTGTGAAACATACGTTTGTAGCATGATAATAATGTTTAGATTTGATTCCTAAAATATAAGCTCAAAAAATGAAATGGTTAAAAAAAATAAAAAAAAGGAGAAAAAAGCAACCAATAACGTGCGATAAAGGGCTTCTGCTCATCTGACAGATTTTTTTTGTTGTCATTTTAAACTTTACTCAGTTTTCTGCACATTTCTGTCAGCTAACAAATAAAACAAATGTGATTAACTGCATATCTCTAATTATTTCCAAAGAATTTCTGTTGTTTGTTGGTGCAGCAGTAGCTCAACAGGTTGAGCGGGTTGTCCAGTAATCGGAAGGTTGCAGGTTAGATACCGGCTAACTCTGCTGTTGTGTCCTTGGGCAAGACACTTAACCCACCTAGCCTGCTGGTGGTGGTCAGAGGGACCGGTGGCGCCTGTGCTCGGCAGCCTCGCCTCTGTCAGTGCGCCCCAGGGCAGCTGTGGCTACATCGTAGCTCATCCCCACCAGTGTGTGAATGTGTGTGTGAATGGATGAATGATACACTAATGTAAAGCGCTTTGGAGTCCTTACTCTGAGAGGTGCTATACAAGTGAGGGTCATTCATCATTTATCATCATTTGTCACAATAAAGACACTAAACATCAGTCTAATTCACTAGAAAGCTTTATTTATAATCAGTTTTCCTTCAAAGACACACATTTCACGGCAAATGATTTAATTTAAAAACAAAAATCTGCTCAGAAAACACGTTTGAGATAATACATCAAAATATTTGCCTGGAATGCAAAAATCCTGCTGCTTTGTGGCTTTTTCATCAACTTGAATCCAGATTTTTGGTACAATTTAAAATCAGAGTCAGAATTAAGGCCAGTAAATTGTAATTTGATCATTTTTAAGCTGTAGCTGTTTGAAGTGAAGGTATAAGATCCCTCTAATGTCTGTGAATTTTATTCAAAATGATGTTAAATGGAGCTCAGGTGTGCCAAAGGTAGTGGGCACTGCCGAGAGCCCGCACCAGCCTCTCATCCACATCACCGACTAAGATTTCAGTCATTTCTACAGGGAATCAGCGGACTTTGACACACGTTTAGGATAAAACTTAAAAAGAATGTCCACAGGTTTCCATGAGGATCATCAGATGTCTCTGTTGGCAGATTCTAAATTAAACTATAAAAATTGTACTCACCTGCCACAGAAAATGGACATCCAGCTCTTCACAAGACTAACCTTCTAATTTCCACCCAGCGCCGTCCCATCCAGCTGAGGACCGGGAGAGATGATGGCGGCAGTGAAAACGACGGGAGGTATGCAGAGCAGCTGGATGTCCTGATGGAGCTGATACAGCTTCACGAGTCTCCCCAGCAGAAGTCACAACAATCCAGAACCTGTTGCCGTGATCACGATTGCTCTTTTGGGAGCAGGAATGGGGAAATATTCAACAGCAGTGGATTGAGCCTTGCCTAAAAGAAGCAGCTAGGTGAAAACTTTAGCAGGGATAGTGTTCAACTTAATCTGAGATGAGGGTTTGGGGAGTGGGGGGTGAGGGGTGGGGGGTGAGCTGAGATGGGAGGGACGCAGCAGGAATCCAAAGATCAGTGGGAATGAAACAGAGCAAAGATTTAAGAAGGGGAGATGGGAGGACGCGGTTCTGGAAATGATGAGAAGGAAATGGAAAAATAAAAACTGAAGAAATGCTTTAAAAAACAAAGAGGACTTATTTTGGTACAAAGAGACTCCCGTATGTTATGAATGCGATCCTTTTATTTGCAGGATCTGTCATTATTGGCAGCAAGGTGCCAAAGAATGAAAAATGTGCCTTTGGTGGAGAATTTGGTTGGAAACACAGAAGCTTTTATCATTTTTGGAATGATGAAATATGAAAAGATCTCAAGTAGTTCAAATATTAGGCCCACGAGAAACGAAAAACACTGAATTAGGGCCTGATATCTGCGCGCGCACACACACACACACACACACACACACACACACACACACACACACACACACACACACACACACACACACACACACACACACACACACACACACACACACACACACACACACACACACACACACACACACACACACACACACACACACACACACACACACACACCATGGTGGGTAGAGTTACAGCATTAACATGAGCCACTTTGGACACTTTCAGTACCCCTTTCTTAATTAGCAACGGCCTCGTTTACGAGGTTATACAAGACACTTTATTTCCATAGATGCTGGATTGATAGCACATCCAAACCTCAGGTGGATTCTGGCTGATAGGGTCTGGGAAGGAGAAGGCAGTCAGTTGGGTCTTTGTTGCAAGAGGACAGTGAAGGTAACTGGAGATCCAAGGAGCAAGATGTGTGAAAAGCTCCAGGATCGCGGGCCGACCTGGGGTCACATTAAGCAGCAAGGTGACACTCTGCGGAGGCAGCTTCTGTACCTCCCCGGGTCTTGTTGTGTAAATTTTCACATACTGCTCAACAACTTGTGAAAGGGAATGTCATTTAAAGAAAGAATCTCATTCCTCTCCTCCCTTTGCTCAAAATCTACATTTTTCACGATTAAGTCAAAAGAGCAGTGTCCCAATTGTTGGGATTTCCTCTTTCATGTGCATATGTCAAAAGAACACTTCCATGTAATATGTATAGTATTGGAAATTCCTCCACTGGACCATTTTTAGATGGTGGTTTGGCCTTGTGGTTTAGCAGTTTGGAGCGACCATTTCCTTCCGGGAATTTAGAAATCAAAGCAAGGCCAAGTTACAAGGCAAAATGTTTTAGCGTGATAGCTACATTCAATTTGCCACCAGTGTCTTTTTGCAAGAGGGATTGTCTAACTTTAGCTAACCGGACCTCAGTTCTTTAAGGTTTAGTTGGAACAACTGGACTTTTCTTGTTGTCCTTGAAGACATTTCGCCTCTCATTCAAAAAACGTGTTCAGTTCTGAAACCTGGGTTTCCAGTTGTTCCAACTAAACCTTCAGTATTCCCATGGACGAGTGGGAATACACAAACTGACTTGACTTCCCTCATAACCAGCTCACACCAGGATGACTGAACTCCACGATAGGTGAGAAGGTGCCAATGCCTCCTTTCCCTCCGTATGAGCAAAAGGAATCATGTGTGAGGTTGAAGTCATATTGGACATATCCTTTCCTGAAGGTAGAGGTGAATCTGTGTCGACATGTGTAGCCAAATAAGCAAAAGAGCCACATCAGCACATCGGGCTGCATTTACATCATATAACAGTAATGACCGGCCCTTGACATCTTAGATCTTCCACTACTGGCAGGTTTCTGATGAAGGTACTACTACTACTACTGCTTTTCCATCTGACTGCTTTAAGGCCAGAAGTGGTTTGATGAGAATTTGAGACAATAGTCTACACAGAGTAAACTCCTACGCCTGTGATTCTAACGTAAGAACCAAATGAAAACTCAATGTTTAAGTAAAAACTGGTGTAGATTAGTTCCACCCCCAAAATAACCCAAAAAAAAGAGAAAAAGACCCATTTATTGAAATCTGAACAATGTTTTTCAACGGGGTTTGTTTTGACATTATCTAAATGTGTGGAAGCCACCAAAAGGCAAAACACAAGACAACGTAAGTGGTTTCATACTGGCATACACTGAATTACATGTTCTTATGAAAGAAGAGAACGTTTTACTGCACACTGCATAAAAGGGCTCTAAGAGTCAATCAAGCTTGACCTTCACCCAAATCTGGATCTCCACGCAGCTCTGTTCGACGGTCACCTAATCTGCCACAATAATTCAGCTCCTAGTGCCCTCAGTTGGCTCTGCCCTGCCCTCCTCTCCTTCCTTTTCATTCACAATGGTAGACCTCCTAGTAACCAAAACCTTCCTATCGCTATGACTCCATCTCAGCACACAATCAACCCTGTACAGTCCTCTAAAAGGGGTTATACAAGTGTGGGTCATTCATCATTTCAGGTTGTTGTAATCTGCAAATCTGCAGAACGACAAGGCAGATTATTAACTTTTATGGGGCGACTGAATATATTTGATCGTATCCAGAATAAACCAGATTTTTCAAATTGGAAACAAAAAAAATCAAAGAAAAAACACAAAATCAAAAAGTACAACAATCAAATGACAGAAAAAAATAAAAATAAACAGAAATTTCAACAACTGTAAGAAAACACCCGATCTACTGCCAGTATTTTCAGTATCTACAAAAAAACGTGCACGGAGAGTCCCTCATGCATGTTTCTGTCTTCATAAGGCAAATTCTACAGCAGAGCCCAAAAGCACATTTATGGTTTACACTTTGAAATGAGACAAATTCAAAGGGTTCGTGTTCTGTTAGGGACAAAAGCACCAGAACTCTTCACCAAAGGTGATTAAATACTCTCAGTACAATAATATCTGCATGTCCAACACTTAAAAACAGCAATCAAGTCATTAGCAGAGTGTCTTTAACGTGTTTGACCATCATCATTCATAAGGTATCGCAAACAGAAAAAAGATGTCTTGAAGGATAAATGTAGTTGACTCTTTATTCCAGATTAAAAGTCTCAGAGGATTATCCTTCCCCACACAAAGAATGCTTGTATCGCATGTCGAGCCCGTCCATTAAATAAATGTCACGACATTTAGCGTTAACCCCATGTTGGCACTAGCTGCTTGGGAATTTGAGGATGAGCAAAGCTGCCAATTAAAAGAAATCTTTAAAATAATCCGTGACCGTCAACGCTCATGCATCAGCTAAATATATAATTAAACTAGATAAGAGAAAGCTCAAATTCTACTGCAGAGGGTCAAAATCTACATTCAAGTTTCTTAAACTCTGGATGTTATTTTAGCACCCAACTCTTATAAAAATCCTTAAAGTGGTTGCAGTGTGTCGAGGGGTGGGTGGCACAGAGATCCCACAGAGGATTAGAGCGTTTGGAGGAGAGGGAAGGGGAATGCCCCCAGAAACGCAACACCTCCGGACACGTATGGAATGAACTCTTTGCAGCTCAGCTGCCAGAACAAGAGAAGGTCTGCAGAATTACATCTCCTCCACGGCCAAGCATTCAGCCTGTGAAACAGAGCGGGAGATCACTTGTTCATTCCGACTGTAACAGGAGAGATGTCCCGCTCCATACCGCGTCTCTCAGCCGAGATGTGGAAACGGTCCGTCTAACAGGGAAGCAAACGCTGGGACTCAGATCCTTACTCAGCCGCCGGGCTGCTGTGAGAAAACAGCATCCAAGTCCATCTCTGATGATTTTTTAGGGTAAACTTCATGTTGAGGATTCAGAAAAGGTACAAATTCTGAGATGAAGAGAAAAAAAAAAGTCCTTCAATAAGCAAAAGGTGAGAAGATCTCCTGGATTGAGTTTTTAAAAGTGGCAGCAGAACCCCGTCGAGTCACGGTAAACTGCAAAAGCATTGCGCTAAAACAAGATTCTGATGGTTAAAATTTATTTAGGAGAAAGCACAGTAACACAGTAAAGGTATAGAAACAGCATTGTCCTTTCAAAATAAAACCTGAAATTAAAGTGACAAGATCCAGAACAGGAAGCAAAACCAAACACGAAACATTTGAACTCACTCCAGAATCCAAATAACACAAAGAGTCAAGTTCTCAAAATCTGTAAATATTGTCTTTTTAAAGATGTTTTGGCATTATTAGAGAATAAGAAAATAAACAGTAATGTTTCCTGTTAAACAACAAATGCCCACCTACTCCACTGCCTCTCCGACACGACAAATAATAAACCAAATGTCAAGAAATTCCTCAACTAAAGCAGAACTCCCCATGCACGACTCATCACAACACACAACAGATTACACCTCCAGTTGTTTACTACACAAACTCTGAAAAACAAAATCGAGAAAAAAAGAACATTTACTTTTAGGCGAGGCTTTAACAAACGTAAATGTGTGCAAGAAACGTGAATCAGAGCATTTTAGACCAAAGCACCAGGGATTAAGGACACGGCGCACACGCAGACCGGATGTCTGATAATAATCCAAAAAGTTTCAGAAACATCAAATTAGCATTTGCAGTCGTAAAAACCTGAACACACATCAAGGCAATGAGCTTAAATACGAGTGAATACTGTAAAGATTTCATGTTTTAAAAAAGATTTTGTTGACAAGCGGTCGTTTAAAGTCTGCATTTTGTTGCCTGATTTGGACAAAAATGCACATGATTTTATTTTTAAGGTTTCGAATGCTGCCACCAAATTTCTGATAAAGCACTTTAGTGCCATGTCAGCAAAATGTTGAAGAAAAAGTACATAAATTTACACGAGGCCGTTTTTTTGGCTACTTCTGTACAAGTGTCGAAGAGGAGCTTAGGACTTCTTTTACTCCTTCACAATAAGAGTCTAAAATACACACACGTACATCAAAACATCACATGTTAATGTAAAAGGGTTTATTAATAGTTGTCTGATAAAACTCAAATAGTATTAATAACTACTCTATACACGTATGGTGTTTTGGAGTATGTGTGCATACCAGACTTTTATTGTGAAGGATTGAATGGAGATTAGGAGTTAAAGTTGATAAATTCTCCAAAGAAATCAGCTTCAAATGATTTGACTCTAAGTCTTTCACACTTAATATCACTTTTCTACCAACAAGGGTGCGAAAACGCAGTGAAATCCTAGTTTTTCCTAAACGTACATTTTTAAAATGTCTCAAAGTGAATCTCTGTGAGGCGTAACAGAAGAAAGGCTGGGGGTGAATCGGTGAGGAAACCCTCGTCTGTGAACCCGTTCTAACCTAAACGCAGCGGAAGTCTCCGTGACACCGCAGCCCGGTGCTCGGTTACCATGCAGGAAAGGGTCTCAACGCTCCTCAGCTGCCTCTGCTGGGAGGGAGAGCCGTTCCATTCATGGACTCAACAAACAGAAGACCGGCGGTAAATGGAGCGTCGACCCTTCTCGGTTTCTGTCCCAGACCCGAGCTACCCTCAGACGCGGATCGTCTTTCCTGTGCAGCGTTTCGACAGAGCGGTAATCCTAAACACACGGCTTTTCTGCATTGGCTCGGGGGTTATCCCGGGATATTTAACTAGAGTCAAGTGAAACCACCTGAACCAGGGAGCAAAAGGAATTAAGGAAAGATTTGTTCCTCATGTAAAAAATGTAGAAGAAAAAAAATTTCGTATGATTCAAAGGTCAACTGTATGCAGACAAACACCTAAAAACGTTCAGATCTTCATGAATCACCAGAAAAATACAGAAGAGGATTCGTGCCACTGAAAAACAGAAGAAACTCTGACTATTCTCAGAATTCAGACTTTTTTCTGAATTCTGACCTTAAAGTTAAGATTAATTGCCGAGATTAATCTCCAAATTCTGACTTTATTCACAGAATTCTGATATTTTCCCCTCAGGATTCTGATTTTAGTCTCAGAATTCTGACTTTTCCTCTGAATTAGGATTTTATTTCTCTCAGAATTCTGATCTTAATGTCAGATTAATAACCAAGATTCTGAGATTAATCTCAGAAAAAAATTAATCTCAGAATTCTGACTATTTTTCTCAGAATTCTGAGATTACGGTCAGAATTATTTTTCCTTTTTCCTTTTCAGTGGCTCTAACAAACAGAATGGTGCTTTGGTGCTTGATTTGGTTCTTTTAAATATTCACAAGTGCCAGAAATCTGTTGCTTGATGCAACAGATAAACCTGCAACTACTTTTTAGTTATTTAACCAAAAAGTCTTGGGTTGAATCCTTGAAAATCAGTTTTCAAGTGGTTTTATTTTAAAAGCTGTGCATTTTGCATAATGTATCACTAAATATGGCAGCCATGTTTCTATATAAGAAGCATCAGCGAATATTTTTGACTTCACTGCACACCGAGTTGCCTTTGTGTAGGAAATGAGCTGCGTAAATGAAGCCATCTTGTCCAATTTAAACTTGATGAATAATAAAATGTAAATGGCAGCCTTAAAAATAGAAATGATCATATTAAATTCAGATTATAATCTCTCATTGTAGAAATCCTTTAGTTCTGGGATGAGAGCGTTATTTGTATGATCTGGCACCGTTTTAAAGCAAGATTAGCTCTTTAATTGAAATTAATGTAATTATTTGAATCATAAGAACTGAAGAATCTATGATTATATATTTATGTATCTACTGTAGCTTTGGGGGGTAAAATAAGGAGAAATGCATAACCATTTCAACTAAATAAATTTTTCATTCACTTCATTAGTTTAGGAGTAAAATTGGACAAATTTATTCTACCCTTAGACTGATTTCTTAAAAATCCTTTTCTAAGATTTAACCAAATGAAACCTCGACTCTGTAAAACATTTTGTATCGATGTAAAAGTGCCTACACTTGATATTTTCTTCTTTAAAACATTTTATTGTAGCATAGCATGATTAAAACTTATAAATCTGAGTTTGAGCTAAAAAACTGAGTGAAGGTAAACGGATCGAGTTCCATGTGCAAATGTACTTTTGTCTGTGTATTTATATAAATCTATATCGGACTGAATACTTCCTTACATTCAAGACGAAGCTTTATTATTCTTTTCACTCGAATTAAAGCTCAGCATCCAGTAAGTCACAACTGATCCGGAACCAGAGCCCCCCGTCTACTCAAAGATCTGAGGAGCTGCAGCGGTTCTTAACTCTGGGCACCACTAGGATCTCGTCACCGTCTCTGATGCTGTAGGAGTGAAGGGCCCTGAAGCCACATTTCAGCTCCTCTGGTCCCAGGACCGAAGACATCTCTCGGTCGATGTGGAACAGCCTGATGCCGTTGGTGGGCAGCTGCAGCAGGGCTTTTAGCTGTTTCTTCAGGTCGCCCACCGTATGCTCCAGGCGGAGGCTGACCGGCTCCACCCGGTCCCCCCAGCGAACATCCACCACAGTGCACCTGGGCCTCAGGTCCACCTCTGCCAGTGGAGCCAGATGACCGTATTTGGACACAAGGACCTGGTACCTGACAGGAAGCAAAACATAAAAGACAGTAGAAATTAGACTCATAAAGGATTTAAATGTGTTAATGATCTGTCCTGGGAGAGGGATTGTAGAATCGTCACCGTTTCCACTCAGACCATTTTAGCTGCAACACAGTTCAAAGCCTGATGACTTTAGTGGCCGTTTCCAAATCCGGAGACAGGAAACGACAAGGCTGTCCAAATTCTAAGGATGCGCCGAATACGTCCTTGTTGTCTCCAACTTTCAAGGATGAGTCGGGTAAATCCTCACTGGGAAAAGCTAATCCAGAATTTACTGTGAGCAGAACGGGAGATTTTTGTTGTTGGGGTAATGGCGGCTGAAGCGAGAGAGGATTCCAGTGTGTGTGTGTGTGTGTGTGTGTGTGTTGGGGCGGGGGTCTTTGAGTGTCAATTCAGTCGACGGGTGAAGCATTTGAAAATAGAAATATTAAAATCAGAAGGTGAAAGTTTAGTCTTGTAGAAGGGTTGCAGATAAACAAGGTTTCTTCTCTCTTTCAACAAGGCTGGCGCTAGCAGCTGAAGCTAGCTGAGGCTCGTCTTACCGCAGCTCTACGGTAGAGTTGCTGCGACCAGCATTTAAATATTGCCGACACTGAAGTGGGTTGGACCATATAGATGTAAGCAGGCATGGCTGTCATATGATGTGATATCACTGCCCTGCTCAGAACAGCACTTTTTCCTCTCACCTTTTTCTAGAAGCCTAACTTACACAGAAAGTAGTTCACACCCGGCTCTGACTTTTGGGCCATTCCCATCTGTACCTGGTCGGCCCGGCCCGGAGAGCATAGCTTGCTTACATATCTTGGTGGCCTGCCTTTTTTCAGGGTGCAACAAGACTGTTCCAGCCCTCTTTCTGAGGGGGTCTGCTTCAGGCCGACCAGGACCAACACACCCACTGCTGACAGAAAATTCACACCTTCCATCAGAGCAAGCCTCTGATTGGTGGGTAGAATCAGCCCACATGGGCTTAAGGCATGCTCAATTCATTATCATGCTGATTACCCAGAAGCTGAAAGTGTCTCTGACTGCATTCCTTGCATACCTAAGCAAGGATGTGTGGAATCAACCGGGCCAGGCTGGGGCCGACTGGGGCTACCCGGCCTGGGCCGACCAGGTACAGATGGGAATGGCCCATTTCTGGGATGCTTTAGAGACGTTCCGATCACATTTATTTGCTCCCGATCCAACTCATTTGATTTTAAGAATCTGCCGATACCGACTCCTGACCTGATACTTTAGAAATGCATTAAGATGTAGATGAACGTGATGAATTGAAACCCAAGCCATTCTCTTTCCATTTGAAAATCTCTTTCTAAGGATGAATTCAGAAAGTAAAGTTAGATGTTTTATATGGTTCAACACGATTTTTACCACCGACTACAATTTTCTGAAAATCATGCAATCCGACTCGATTTCCGATATTCAACAAGGAAAATGTTGCTTTACATGATTGCACCTCTTTAACATAACAATAAACGCAGAGACTGGCTATGGCTATCCATTAGCATCACTAGCATAGCTTAGCATGAGGCAGCTGGTTATTAGTTATCTTTCTTTCAGGGCTTATATGATTTCAGTAACAAATTAATTGTAATGGTTTAAAAAATAAACAATTCTGATAAAATAGAGAATTCACAGTAAAACAAATTATTATGATACGATATTTTTGCCCTATCGCCCAAACCTGCATCAGGGTAAACAAAACAATATACAAGAGTATGAGAAAGTTTAGTCATATGTTAGCATATAGATGTTCGTGTTGTCAGTTACTCTCAGCAGCTTGATTTAGTTACGGCCATTTTTGTAGTTGATCTCGATTAGCAGTGGCGGCCATCTAGACTCCAAATGTAGACTCCAGCTGTAGACGCACTTCCTCAGAAGAATTTCATTAAAGGTGTGGTTCACTGAAAACCCATTTTTTAATGATTATTTTAGATTTTAATCAGTCGAGCCCACAGCCTGTTTGAGGGTGGGAGGAGCCATTGATTATCAGCTTAGTTTTTTCCAGCAACTATATCTTGCAGCGTCTTTTAGGGAGGGCAGAGTGGCCGATGATCTTCTGGGATGTCCAAATATCAGAAAATATGATTGAGAAACCTGCCGTCTGAAGCTCAGCTGTGACATAGTGAGAGGAAAAGATGCACTGGTATGGTACAGGATGGGGTTCAGAAAAATGGACAAAATCAGACTGAAATCCACCGCAGTACCATCGATGCATGGAAAAGGCAACAAGGGAGAAGGACCGGGAGCAGCCGCGCCCGGAACGACAACAACAATGGCGGCTCCGCCCAGCAGCAGAAGAGACTCAGGAGCTGCACGCAGGTCAGCAACTCACAAGCTGTAGTAGCCAGAGTAAGTGTTGTTTCTAAAAACTGTTAATGACAAAAACATTCATGTGTTTACACAAATAATGTCTATATTTAGCCGTGTTAGGCTATAATTGCGCAGCTAAGTGACCGCACTTCGTCGTTACGTAACAAATACAGTTTCTCTATGATCACGGTGAGCAGAAAGATAACGGACACGGTGATTCTGGTTAAAATACAGGTGCTGGCCAGTAAATTAGAATATCATCAAAAGGTTGAAAATATTTCAGTAATTCCATTCAAAACGTGAAACTTGTACATTATATTCATGCAATGCACACAGACCAATGTATTTCCAATGTTCATTACATTTAAATTTGATATTTATAGGTGACAACCAATGAAAACATCAAATCTGGTATCTCAGAAAATTAGAATATTCTAAAGGCCAATGAAAAAATGTTTGTTTCTCTAATGTTGGCCAACTGAAAAGAATGAACATGAAAAGAATGTGCATGTATAGCACTCAATACTTAGTCGGGGCTCCTTTTGCCTCAATAACTGCAGTAATGCGGCGTGGCATGGACTCGATCAGTCTGTGGCACTGCTCAGGTGTTATGAGAGCCCAGGTTGCTCTGATAGTCGTCTTCAGCTCCTCTGCATTGTTGGGTCTAGCGTATTGCATCCTCCGCTTCACAATACCCCATAGATTTTCTATGGGGTTAAGGTCAGGCGAGTTTGCTGGCCAATCAAGGACAGGGATACCATGGTCCTTGAACCAGGTGCTGGTGGTTTTGGCACTGTGTGCAGGTGCCAAGTCCTGTTGAAAGGTGAAGTCTGCATCCCCATAAAGTTGGTCAGCAGCAGGAAGCATGAAGTGCTCTAAAACTTCCTGGTAGACGGCTGCATTGACCCTGGACCTCAGGAAACAGAGTGGGCCAACACCGGCAGATGACATGGCACCCCACACCATCACTGACGGTGGAAACTTTACACTGGACCTCATGCAACGTGGATTCTGTGCTTCTCCGCTCTTCCTCCAGACTCTGGGTCCTTGATTTCCAAAGGAAATGCAGAACTTGCTTTCATCAGAAAACATAACTTTGGACCACTCAGCATCAGTCCAGTCCTTTTTGTCCTTGGCCCAGGCGAGACGCTTCTTGCGCTGTTTCTTGTTCAAGAGTGGCTTGACACACGGAATGCGACACCTGAATCCCATGTCTTTCATGAGTCTCCTCGTGGTGGTTCTTGAAGCGCTGACTCCAGCTGCAGTCCACTCTTTGTGGATCTCCCCCACATTTTTGAATGGGTTTGTCGTCACAATTCTCTGCAGGGTGCGGTTATCCCTAGAGCTTGTACACTTTTTTCTACCACATTTTTTCCGTCCCTTCGCCTGTCTGTTAATGTGCTTGGACACAGAGCTCTGCGAACAGCCAGCTTCTTTAGCAATCACCTTTTGTGTCTTGCCCTCCTTGTGCAAGGTGTCAATGATTGTCTTTTGGACAGCTGTTAAGTCAGAAGTCTTCCCCATGATTGTGGTGCCTTCAAAACAAGACTGAGGGACCTTTTAAAGGCCTTTGCAGGTGTTTTGAGTAAATCAGCTGATTAGAGTGGCAGCAGGTGTCTTCTATATTCAGCCTTTTCAGAATATTCTAATTTTTTGAGATACCAAATTTGGAGTTTTCATTAGTTGTCACTTATGAATATCAAATTTAAATGTAATGAACATTGGAAATACATTGGTCTGTGTGCATTGCATGAATATAATGTACAAGTTTCACGTTTTGAATGGAATTACTGAAATATTTTCAACCTTTTGATGATATTCTAATTTACTGGCCAGCACCTGTAATCATTTGAGCACCACGAACAACCCTTGCTTGCCTCCGGTTTCAACCAGCTGCTTCACCAGCTCATAACGTGATTTTGTACAGCTGTGCTCACCTGAGGGACTCGCGCTAATGTTTGTGTACGTTTTTGGTTTTTAGAAAACACTCAAATATCTCTCCTACTTTAGTGTACTTTCCAGCTGTTATTTTGAGATTCATGCCGGGCGATTTATCATGGCAATCTGCTGACTCCTACAATTATGAGGTTCTGACCCAAATCAAGCATTTGTGGTCTTGTATGCATTAAACAACATTTTTAAGTCTCTACATTCATCTTTTATGATGAGTAGTTTTGTATTGTATTTTAATGCTTTTCACCCTAAATGTTCTTATCTTTAAATTCAAGTACATATTCGTATGCTTGCTTTGCAGATGACAGCAGACCTGTCACACGTGGAAACAACAGAACTAACTCCTGAAGCAGCTGCGTTGTGACATGATGGATGAGTGCATGTCGGGTCAGAAGCACTCCTCTACCAGTGTGGATTCAGACAGCTCATTCCTCATGGTTCTACAGGTCAACTAGAACATGCAGAGCACAAAATGTTCACAATTTTAACTCAAATTTCCAAGATTTCCATAAAACTGTTTATTGTTTCACAAACTAGGTTGTGATGGCTAATGTAACAAAATCATTACGTTAAAAAATGTCTGATCTCAGCAACACAGGCTGCCCTACATCCATCCACCAGGGACATGGGAGCCAGTATGAGGAGAGCGATGTGCTGTGGCACTCAACACCTTTATCATCGCCTGTATTGTCACTTGAGCCCCTAGATGACCAGG